TCCCCCTCGGTTATTTCCGGGGGGAGGTCCTCTATGTGCCCCCCTTCCTCTATTGGGGGGGCCATGACTGGGGGGGCGAAGGGTGGCGGGGCAGGAAATAGCCCCTCCAAATAGAGAGAGTTTCGCCGCACGCACGTGTGTGTCTGGCCGCGATTGAGGACGCACAGCCCTAAGGCCGCCGCCCAATCCACCAATATCGGCCCCCTGCTGTTGGCCACCGGGGAACCCCAAGCTGCGCTCTTCGCGTTGAGGTCCCCTGCCAACAGCACCGGCGTCGGTGCGGCCCTCCTCACCGCCCTCTCCAGGGTCTCCAGGAACGCTTCGAACCGGGCAAGGGCGAGGTTAGGGGAGAAATACACCCCTACTAGGGTGAACTCTCCCCACCTCGCCATGATGTACCCGGCTCCGCGCTCCTTCACCACCAGAGAAGGGCCGGCCGCACTCGCCACTATGGCCACCGTCGAAGTTTGGTCGCCGGCCCAGTTCCCCCTGGGGGGAACAAAGTAGGGCTCGGCGACCACCGCCACGTCAACCTCCCACTCCGCCATGGTTTGACACAGGAGGTCCTGTGCCCTGGCGGAGTGGTTGAGGTTCACTTGGAGCACTAATGGATTCGGACGTATATCCATTAGTGCTCCATTGTTGCGCCCTCACTGGTTTGGTTGGGGGGCGGGCTAGTCGCCCCCATCACCTTACCTCTACTAGGCGGGGGGGCGCACGATAGCCCCCGCATTATGTGCTCTGCCGGCCTGCGCGCCGACGTGCACACGGCGCACTTGGGCGCCGCCGAGCAGCTGGCGGCCTGGTGGCCCTCCTGGCCACACCTGAGGCACAGGGCGCTTCTGTCCATCGGCGACGGACAGAGCGCCCTGGTGTGGCCAATCCCCATGCACTTATAGCAGCGCATGGGGCGGGGTTCCAGCACCTGGACCCCAGCGGAGGTCCAGCCCATCTGTAGGCGGCCTGCTGCCACCACCAGCTGTGCTGCCCTTACCGGGCAGCGAACGAGGGCCGACCCCCTCCCGTTGGGGTCGTGTCTCACCGCCCCCACGCTGACCTCCGAGGGGGGGCATTGGCCTTTCGCGGCCACCGCGTCCCGCACCTTTTCGGGGGTCGCCGTCTCATCGAGACCGGCGACCCTCAAATCCGCGGTTTTCGATGGCCGCGACACCATGGCCAGCCCCCCGACCAACTCAATAATTTTGGAGGCCAGCGCGTCGGCCTTCTTAGCGCTGGTCGCCCCGGGCACCTCGATCATGCGGGCACCGGTTTGGGTGTTCCGCATGCGCACAGTCGGGATGCCGAGGCTCCCGAGGTCAATGGCCGCCGTTGCCGCCTCGAGGATACCCCTATAGGTGGCCCCCTTCTCTTTTACCGCATCGGGCCTCAGGGTGATTACCACCGCCGATGATTTCGGGGTGGCAAGGGCCCTGGGCTTGGTGGCCGTCTTAGGAGCCGCCTTGGTGGGGGCTCGTGCTGCCTGGCTGGTAGCAGCCGCCTTCGCGGCCTTCTTGGCCTTACGGCCAAGGACCTGCGACCACGGGGTTCCCGTGGTCGCCACCGGGGCCGCCATCCCCGGGACGACGGGGATAGCGGGGGCCGCCACGGATGGGGCGGCGGGAGCCTTCGGCTTTGCGGCCTTTTTGGCCTTTTTAGGCCTCGGGCCGGCAGGCGCATCACGGGCAAGAGAGGGACCCGGGGTCGGCTCGGAGGCCGCCACGGCGGGAGGCATCCTGGAGGCGGCTGCAGAGGCGGCGGCGGTGAGCGCCGCTTCAGGGACGGGCGTCCCTCTTTTGCCGCCCAGGGAAGGCCTTAGGGTCTCCGCGGGGAGGCGCCGCTCAATGTCGCACAGGCGGGCGTCCACCATGTTCTTCATGGAGGTGAAGATGTCCCGCCTAAGGTCATCAATGGCCTCCCTCACTCCCGCGTGCATCTCCGCAAAGCTGCACGGCGGTGGAGCCACTTGAGCCTTGGCCTTGGCCATGGCGGAGGAGTAGGCCCCCCTCAAGGCCTTCACCTCCGCCCCAAGGGCAGCGAGTTGCCCCCTCGTCCGGCGGTTGTCCTCCGACATCCGCCGGGCTGCCTCCGTGGCTGTCTCTCCACGGTGGAGGAAGTCGACGGCCCCCTCCACCTTCCTGACGGCCTCTTTAATGGTTTTGACCACCGTCCCCTTGAGATTAGAGGACTTGGCGGTCTCCGCCAGTATTGCCGCGAGGCCGTCTCGCGCTTCCTGGGCCAGGGACTCTCTCACGAAGCCCGCCGCGCCCTCGGGTTCGGCCTCCCCGACCTGGCCCGGGCCCCTGAGGGCCTCTTTGTAAAAGGTGGCGTCCGCCTCCTTCTGGAGGGCGTTCCACTCTGCCGAGCTGGAACGACCTCTCCCTGCCACCGCCGCGCCGGGGTAGGTTTTCCCAGGGACCCTGGGCCTGCCCCTGCGGGCTGTATTAATCTTAGGAGCCACTTCGGGCTCCAAAGGCTCTCCCGACTGGGGAGCGGCGCGCTTGGTGGCCCTCGAGGATCCCTCCTGTCCGGCCGATCCAGAGCGCGACCTCCCCTCAGAGAGGGTGGACTCCTCATCCGAGGAGGCCGAGACCATCCTCTCACTCTCGGACCCGCAGTCGGGTAACACTCCCACCTCTACCATAGAGGGCCTAGACACACTCATTTTCGCAAAAGAAACAGTAGCGCAAAACACAAAAGAAAACACCTCAAATGCCGCACGTATAGAAGTTTCGGATTTAGTCACCCACCCACTGGCCACTGCGTTACCGCGCACCAAGTGGAATGGGGTCCAGGGCAGACGACGAGGACGTACCGAAAATTCACGTGGGGCCTTTTTTTTTTTTTTTTTTACCCGGAGAAATGCGTTACGCATACCACCGCGCCCGGGGAGGTGCGGGGTTATGTGGGACTCTTTTCCAGAAAGGAAGCCTACCCACCAAAACTCCGGGGTGTTCCAACCAGCCGCTTAGTGGGGGTTATGGTACCGGTTACCCATTACCCACGACCCCCAAAGAGCGGACGTTCGCGGCCTTTGTTTGGCGCGCGAACCCTCTCAAGTGGCCCTTGCCACTGGTGCACCTGGGGGCGGCTTCCTGGAACACGTGGAAGTCGCCCTACCCTCTTGGGAACCTAACCTTTTTTTTTTTTTTTTTTTTTATTATCCGAGGGAATCCGGGGTATCTGTCGGGGTATTGTTCTTCCAGTTGGGGTATTCTTCATCGTCGGGTTGTGTTCTTCGTCGTCGGGTTGTGTTCTTCGTCGGCGGGGTCACCAGTTTACCATGGCGCAGGTGAAAGGTGTTGGCGGTCACCACTTCGCCATGGTAGTTTAGTGGAGAATGATAGACGAGTCGTGGGTTGGTAAATGACTATATATTAATGTATGAACTGATTATAACTGATGGTATATTAACTTGAGCTACTTATTTATACTAATTTGGTACGTGTGTCTTATGCTAATTCACAAGGCATGGTTGTTACTTTTGCTTGCACTGAGACGTGCCTGAATGTCGGAAGAGGGTTAGACATTCTGGCACGTCTGTGGCTGCTACATGACCTAAATGAATATTTTCATTATACCGCAGTTCTATCCGCCACCAATAGCTTGCGAGATAAATGGCCTTGAAAATTTTTAATTCACCACTGACCATAATACGAAGAAATATTTGATCGTTTTTTAAAAATCTCTTTAAATATTGTTTTTTATGATCGTAGCGGATAGATCGGACCGAAATGAACAATTTTGCCTTTTGCACCTTTTCTCTACGACCAATACTTTCCGAGATAATCGATCTCAAAGACGTTTCAATTATTAATTAGGTTTGAAAAACAGAAAATTTCAAAATTTTCCTAAAAGTCTATTTTAATTATTTCTAATGGCGGTATCAGCTTAATACAAACGCTTTTCGTTCTCATACATTTCTCCGTACGACCTATAGTTTCCGAGAAAATTTGCCTTGAAGATGTCGAATTTATCAAAGTGTTATTAAATACTTTTCCTTTACTCTGTTTCGGACACTTTAGCTTTAAATAGACACAATTTATTCTATTCAATTTCTCTCTAAGCGGCATAACTATGCCGCTTCTTGGATTCTTGTTTTTCTCGATAGTTATCGAAAGATACTTGAGCCGTGACCGCGTAATACGTTGTATGGAAACGGAGGTCAAGGATATAGTTTATTTGGTTTAAAGCAAGCTATCACACCTAGAGTTCTACAGATAGCGCCACGATTTAATATTAAAAGTAATCTCCTATAATCTACAGAACTGAGTTGTACGTAAATAATAATTGTCCGAAAACGTCAAAAATGTTAATTTTTGTGCACAATAGCTATTTCCTAAATGCAAAAAAAAGAAAAGAAATGTCAATGTCACTCCATCAACTTTCGTAAATGTAATCTTACTATCTTTGCAACTTTTAATTTCGCCGCCGGGAGACAAAATATCAAATATAACAGAAGGTCGTAGAAGAGTACCTGAAAAAGAAAGAAGAGTATGAATCAAAAGTGGTAAAGGCGCAGGTCTCGAGCTGGAAGGAGTTCTGCGAGAAGCAAGACAGGGAAGGCCTTTGGGAGGGTATTTATCGTGTGAATGGCCGTACGAAGAAAAGAGAGGAGGACTTGCCCCTGGAAAGGAGAAGTGCTCGACGCCAACGGCTCTGCCAAATTATTGGCGGAGACTTTCTATCCGGAGGATGATGAGAAGGAAGACAACATCGAGCATCGACAAATTAGAAAACGTGCTAGAACGATAAACGAACCCACTCAAGAAGACCGAGACGATCCACCCTTCACGCTGACGGAGCTGAAAACAACAATAGGCACCTTCAACCCCAAGAAGGCAGACATCTGCCACCGTGTCATTGAGCACGACGCGGAACTATTCATCTGCCTGACAAACAAATGCTTGGCTCTACACTACTTTCCTATGGTGTGGAAAGAGGCAGCCGTAAATAGTATTGACAAAACCTGGAAAGGATACTTACGCTAACCCTAAATCATATAGACCTATAGGTTTGCTGCCGGTCTTAAGGAAGATCATGGAGAATATGATGGTCTCCAGGCTCAAGTACCACCTGATTCCACGAATGAGCCTAGGCCAGTTCGGATTTATGCCCCAAAGGAGCACCGAGGACTCCCTCTATACCCTCATAAACTACGTAAAAGAGAAGTTGAACCGAAAGAAGCTGGTTACACTAGTGTCTTTGGATATAGAGGGAGCTTTCGACAGAGCTTGGTGGCCTGCTATAAAGATCCGGCTGGCAGAGGAAAAATGCCCTGTAAACCTGAGGAAGATGATAGATAGCTACCTGAGTGACCGGAGGGTTAGCGTAAGATATAGCGGGGAACAGTTCGAAAAGACCACAAACAAAGGCTGTGTACAAGGGTCCATCGGCGGTCCAATTCTATGGAATCTGCTGTTAGACCCACTTTTGAAAAAATCAGAGGCGAAGGGCGACTAGGGTCAGGCATTCGCAGACGATGTGGTCCTAGTTTTTGACGGTGACACAGCGATAGAGGTGCAGAAACGTGCCAATGCCGCCCTTGAGTGTGTGCGGAAGTGTGGTGTCGCTAATAAACTCAGATTTGCGCCGCACAAAACCACCGCGATGATCATTACGCGCAAATTGAAGTACGACACCCCACAGCTGAGCATGGGCGGGGTTGGCATTGGCATGTCCAAACAAATGAAACTATTAGGAGCCATCATTGACCACAGGCTTAGTTTCAACCAGCATATCTAGGCGGTATGCAAAAAAAAAAAAAAAAAAAAAAAGGCGATAGGCGTATACCACTAGTTATCACGAGCAGCTAGCGAGCTGGGGTTTACACCCAGAAGTGATCCGCACTATCTACGTCGCTACTATTGAGCCAATAATCCTGTATGCCGCTAGCGTATGGGCACCAGAAGTGAAAAAGCTGGGGGTCCTAAAACAACTCAAAGTGGTCCAACGGAGCTTCGCAAGAAAATTGTGTAAGGCCTACCGTACCGTCTCCCTAAACTCGGCACTGGTTCTGGCCGGAATCCTCCTCCTTGACATGCGAGTGCAAGAAGCAGAATCACTATACGAGGCTAAGAGGGGGGAGCTCCTACCAGGGCTGGGAGACAGGGAGACGGAACGGATGACCTCGTTTATAGAATTTCCGCACCCGGCGGAACGCATTGGACTGGAGTTCAAATGCTTGGTAGACGAAGAACAGTTAAAATCAAATAGCGAATTCGAAACGCGCATTTTCACCGACGGCAGCAAAGTTGAGGGCAAGGTTGGGGCGGCCTTATCCGTGTGGGATGGTGCCGCCGAAACCAAAACCCATAAACTTTCACTGCCGTCGTATAGCACCGTCTACCAGGCTCCTGGCCATGTGTAAAGCCACGCGAATTATACTTCGGAATCTACGGTGATTCTAGGGCGGCACTACAAGGAAATATAATATTAAGTAAAAATGCATTCATTGAGTACTGTACCAATGTAGCAAATAAGGTAATAAACAGAAACAAAACAGAATTGTAAAGTATACTAAAGAAATATAAGTGTGTATTTCCACTTAGTATATATTAGATAATGTAGGTAATAAAGAAATAGTCAGAAAATAGTATGTAAAACAATGCAGTAACAATAAACTAATGTAACCTGTGTCTATAAGGACCTTAGTAATAAGAAACAAATGTAATGAAATAATGAACCCCATAGCAGACTAATTAAAACCATGTAACTTATTGTAAAGATATGTACAAAAGTAGTATAAGAAAATAAAACTAACCAACAGTGTACTGTACCTTACTTACCAGAGAAATGTAAAATAAATGAAATAAATAAACATACAGAGTAGACATATTAGGGATGTAGGCGGGCAACCCACCCGTTGTAGAGTAAGAGATGATGAATGAAAGAAAGATTTAGTATGCTGAATGAAAGTGCGAGAAGAATATATGCGAGAACTAGAATGAATGAGTAACGTAGACCAGGACTCCGAATTCCTTTGGAGGTATTAGCGTTAGAAAACAAAAAAGAAACCTAACCTAATCTAATTTTAACGTCGAACAGAATAACGGGTTTTTTAGGATTTTTAATGTGCATTAAAAGTTTAATTTATTTGTGCGACCAAATGGTTAAAACAAGCCGAATTGAAATTGTTATGCTCATACAAAATGAGCCAAGATCACCTCGAGTATTTTTTTAGTGCCATTAGAGAAAAGTTTGCAATATAAAAAAGATAAGGGTGGTTTGCATTATCCATCAAATGATGTTATTGTTATGTGTGAAATTGCGGAAAAAAATACGCAAGTAACAAGTTATTTGGAACGAAAACTCCTTTGTACCACTTTACACAAAAATGTTTTAAAGAATGTATTAATAAGAATTTATTTATAAATATCTCTCAACATTTCAAAGATCTGCCTATGATAGATAACTATTATGGTCTTTTAATTAAGTCTATATGTGAAAAATATTTAAGTGTACGGATGCACTACACTGTAAAAAAAGTTATCATTAAACAAGAAAACGTTCGACATATGTATACTAAGTTAATACTGTTCAAGCGCCAATAAAAAAGTAATGATTTGTCACAATTGTTTTATTTGGTTACTAAAACTCAACCAAGCTAAATGTGGTCTGGTGGATTCTCTCTCGTTGGACTCGGCAGATTTCATCATTATCATG